GGCCTTGAACACTTCTAGGGATGGGACAGCCCCACACATGGTTCTCCCTTGCAGCGAGGACCCATGGATGCACCCCAGGTCCCATGGACCCCACCGTGCACCAGCCCTCTCCCACACATCCTGGGAATGATCTGGTGAGGGAGGACCTGCAAAGAGTTCCCAAGCCCCCATCCCTCCTCGCACACCATGTAACCCCCCCCTTAGCCCTGCATTACCACAGCAGGGCATTGCTCCTGCTCCAGCAGCCCCCCTCTCACAGATTCCCACCCCATGCCAGCTCCGTGCCCCCCCTCCCCAGCCTAGACTGACCCACCCTGGCTGTGTATGTCCTCGGCCCCATGTCCATATCCATCCTCAGCTCCCGGGGTGCATGTGTCCTCTGTCCCCTGGGTGCATGCATCTCTGGTCTGCAAGGTACTTGTGTCCTTGCTCCCTGGGGTGCAAGTGTCCTTGGTCCCCTGGCTCCATGTCCTCAGTTCCCCTGGGTGCACGTGTCCTTAGTCCCTTGGTGCATGCATCCCCAGTCTCTGGGATACACCTGTCCTCAGTCTTCTGGTGCACATGTCCCTGGTCCCCTGGGTGCATGCATCCCCAGTCTCCAGGGTGCATGCGTCCTCAGTCCCCTGGGTACATACATCTTCCATCCCTGGGGTGCATGCATCCTTGGTTCCCCTGGTGCACATATCCTGGGTCTCCGGTGCTGGCAGGTCTGGGAGTGGCAGGTCTGGGAGGGCACGGCCAGAGCGATGCAGGCACCATCTGGAGAGATGCAAAATCCCACCCCGGTTTCCTCTGGGGCCTCACTCCGTCTCTCAAAGGGTTTATTCCCAGGAGAAATCCTCGAGCTGTAAACATGATGGATGGCACTGGCACCCACGGGCCCAGGCCCAGCACGATGAATGGTCTTCCGAGGGAGGAGATAAGTCTGGCTGCGCGCCGAGCTCCTCCAGGCCATTTCTTTCCGCAGCTCAAAGCTGCTCTTGGATGCAGTGGAAAGAAGGGAACCGAATCCCTTGGGATGCTGCGGAGCTGGAACCAGCAAAACCCCCACCCCGGGATGGACGCGGGCTCCATCTGGACGATGCACCAGGACTCCATCCTGCTCCTCTCGCAGCTCTGCAGTGTGAAAAGGAAGAAGAAAATGTCTGGGAAACCTCAGGGTGGGTGTCAGGCCCCGGATCCCAATGGCAGAGGCTTGGAAGATGTTGTCCCCCTACAAAGCATCAGCATTAGGGGCAGCTGGCAAATGGCCGGGTTTGTTTTTTAAGAGAGCTCTGCTGGGACAGGTGGAAAATGAGGGGGGGATTGGTGACAGCCAACATGGCTTCACTAAGAGCACATTGTGCCCCACAAGTTGGGTGGCCGTCTACAATGGGGTTACAGTGGTGGTGGATAAGGGAAGAGCAGCTGACATCATCTACCCAGACTTGTCCAAAGTGTTTGACACTCCCACACGACATCCTTGTCTCTAAACTGGAGAGACATGGATTTGACGGATGGACCACTCGGTGGATAAGGAATTGGCTGGATGGTCGCACTCAAAGAGTTGTGGCCAACGGTTCAATGTCCAAGTGGAGGTCAGTGACGAGTGGTGTTCCGCAGGGGTTAGTACTGCAGGGTGCAGGCGCTGGGGGTGCAGGATGTGAACATAGGGTGCAGGGTGCACACAAGGGGTGCAGAGCATGAGCACCAGGGTGCATTACATATGGTGTAAGGTGCACACACAGAGTGCAGGGTGCAGACACCAGGGTGCAGAATGCAGGGACTGGGGTGTAGTATGCACACGTGGAGTGCTGGATGGCGTGCACAGCGCACACACAGTGTGCAGGGTGCGGGGACTGGGGTGCAGGGTGCACACAGGGAGTGCAGAATGTGAGCACTGGGGTGCAGGGTGCACACATATGGTACAAGGTGTGCACACACAGAGTGCAGGGTGCAGAAATCAGGGTGCACACACGGGGTGCACGGTGTGGGTACTGGGATGCAGGGTGCAGACATTGGAATGCAGGGTGCAGGGACCGGGGTGCAGAGTGCATACATGGAGTGCTGGATGGCATGCACGGAGTGCAGGGTGTGCAAATGGGGTGCGGGGTGCAGGCACTGGGGTGCAGGGTGCGTCCAAGGGGTGCAGAGTGTGGGCACTGGGGTGCAAGGTGCACACACAGCATGCAAGGTGCAGATACAAGGTGCACACATGGGGTG